CCTGAAGGCAACATCAATTGTCTATCCGGGCGTGTCACACTACTCTTGCGTGTGGCATATTTGGACAAATATAAGGGCAAAGTTCAAGAAGGGTCATCTACAATTAAATGAATCGTACTTTGCTACAACAGGATCATACACTATGGATGAATTTAATGAAAGGATGTCGAAGATTGAAGAGATAGACCCTCATGTTAAATCATACCTCTATGATATTGGCTATCATAGATGGTCAAGAGTACATGCAGCGGTGAATAAAACTTGGACTATGACATCAAACATCGCAGAGTCGTTGAATGCTGTAACAAAATATGCAAGAGAGCTGCCTATATTTGACCTATTAGAGTATATGAGGACACTTCTTGAACGTTGGACGAAAGAAAAGTTGTTGAAGGCAAAGGGTACTTTCACATACCTTGGGTACAAATTCAACAAAGAATTGGAGAAAAGCAGTACATCATCTCAGAAACTTAGGGTAAGATCTCTTTATTTTGTGGAGAATAATAATATTTTTCATATAAAGTGTTTCCAGAATGTAGATAAATTATAGACAAACTGTAGTTAATTTGTAGATGGCAGATCATTTGTAGATAAATTGTAGATAAGTTGAAGATAATTGTAGATAAACTTTTTTATGAATTTTAAATATTTTTATTTCTGTTTGTTATGTAATTGTAGGTGAGGGCTTCAACAAATCTTATCTATACTGTGATAGATGGTGTGAAGTGGTACATTGTGTGTCTTGAAAATAAGAAATGTACTTGTGGCCAGTTCCAACTTAATGAACTTCCATGTGCGCATGCTTTGGCAGCTTTAAGGGACAAGAATGAAGGATATGAAAATTATTGCTCGCCGTATTACACAAGGGAGAGCCTACTCCGTACATATGAAATACCAGTAAATCCACTTCCTGATGAAAGCAAATGGAATGTGCCACAACATATATCTTATGAAGTAGTAAAACCACCTACGGGAGAGAAAAAACAGCCAGGAAGACCTCAAAAGGAAAGATACAAAACATATGATGAACTAAAGTCAAAGAAGTACAAGGTGTCATGTGAAAACTGTGGAGGTGAAGGGCATAACAAAAGATCTTGCAAGAATGCACCCAAAAAAAAAATATCATGTAGTTAGAATGGTTATTTTGTAGTTACTGTTAGTGAGTTAAAGAATCTACATTTTTTGTGTAATCGTTTAAGTTTTTAAAGATCATTATGAAGTATACTACAATTTTATTATGTGTGTTTAATATGCGTTTATGTATCTTGTCAGGCATCTAAATTTGTCTTTGATATAGTATAATTTTGTATTAATATTTATTATCTACAATAAAACTGATATTAAAAAGTAAATTCATGTAAAGTGTTTCCAGATTGTAGATATAATGTAGGTTAAACGTAGTTAAATTGTAGTCTTTGTAAAATTTTGTAGACAATTTGCAGATTCATTGTGGATAACACATTTCTATGATTGGAGTATTTATTTATTCTTTTTGTTGTGTAATTTAACTTCAACTGACAGTTATATACAGAAGGTAAACAACTAGAAATTATGATATACAAATACAAAATTTATATACAATAACTACATTGATTCTTCGCAAAATCTAGATATTGTCATAAAATAACAAAACAATAAGGTCTGCTGCAATAAAAACATAAAAATTTTGTTCATAAAGTAGTGTATTCTCCTTCAACTACAAATTGGCATCAAGTAAACTAGAAAAACAGCACTCTATTTCTTCTTTCTCTGTACTCTAGTCTTCTCATTCAAAGCAGGAGCACCCTTCCTCCTTGCTAGCCTTCCTGTAACCTCACTTTCACTGATTGACCCATCTTCTTGCTTCTTTGTAGCATAGTCCCATAGGATAGCTCCATAGCGTGTACAGTGTTGGTCGATATCCGAAAGGTCTTCTGAAGGGATTGACAAATATCCAATGCTAACATACTCCGCAAAATTAGCCACAAATACCCCACAATCGCTGCATAAGACACAAAAATTTAATTATTTAACAAATGATTATAAAAAAAAAATAATTAACCATTTAGAAAGAGAGAATAGTCTTTTTACAGTGATCCTTCCTTTTGCTGTGGAATCTCCGCAACCAACCACTGTATGTTGAGAGGGTCTGTAACTGGTTTCTCAATGTATGCCTTTATGGTCTTGAAGTCAATGTCTTTACGCTTACCGTAGAAACCAGTGCAAGACAAATACAGAGGGATAATGATTGAAAACTTATCAACACATGCTTCAACATCATTATGGTTGTGTGAAGACACAATGGAATCATACACATAAAGTTGCCTGTCCGCTATGTCGAAAACGACCAACAACCAATGGAACTTCTCTACAATGTTCACGGGCATGATGACATAGTCAACTTCATCCCAGGCAAAGAATTCTATACCCAAGAATATATTCTGCAACATCATCATCGGGTTTAACAACCGATACTTTGTCTGGTGAGAACTTATGAACTTCTCATAGATTTGTTCAATCTTTGACTTGAACAAGCAATCAATTGTTGTAAACCTAGTGTTGTTGTTGTTGGGACCATATTTGCCTCTTTTTCTCAGGTAATACATAATAACATCAATGTGCTGCAAAATATAATAATATCTACTATAAGCTACACTGTAACTACAATCTTTTACAATCAGATACATATTAAACTACAAAGCCAGAATTCAAATATTCTAACAAATAGCTACACTTTAGCTGCTATACACAGCAAAATATGGAACACAACAACTACCATAAGGTCTCAATAATATTGACATTCAAACTATAGCACATATTTGTAAGTGTTCAGCTTGAACTACACTATAACTACAAATTAACTAAAATATACCTACAATTACACTACAAAACAGAAACCAAACTATATCTTGTGAATTTATTCTTTGATACTTACAGAGTTACTGAGGACTTGTCCGGGGTGAGCAAGGGAATAAAACCAGTCCTTCTTATCCACCTTTTCAACTCCAAGGTCTAACCAAGGCTTGATTTGGTTATCCTTTATTGAAAAGGGAGCCTTCCTCCTGTAAAAATGACATAATAAATTACATATTTATACTTTAAAATGCTGAAATGAAAGTATCAAACTAAGCATTCATACCTCTTAGATACTTTCTCACTACGGTGGTATAACCACTTGTTGAACTTATCTAACATATTAGCATCTACATTTTCACCAATAAGAGTTATGAAGGGGTGCTTGAGGTAGAAAAATTTAGGTACAATAGAGCTGCTGCCTCCAGAACTGTATAGAGGTATGAAAGGTGATCGTGCATGTTTCCCCGGTTGCCTGGTTCTCCCCGGATGAATAGGGGTTGCTTTATGTGGTATGGGCTCTCCAAACATAACCAATTGTGTTAAGTTGTCTGGCAACTCAAAGTCATCCAATGTCACACCCTTCTTATCAATGCATGATCCTTCAGAAACAACTTCATCCACATGAAGTGCATCTTCACCTTCATTTTGCTGCCTCTCAATGACTTGTTCTGTTTGAGCTGCTACAGTGACTCCGTGAATTAGGGAGCACACATTGACATTATCAATATCTGTTACATAAAACATATATTACTTAACAGGAATGTAAAATTGTATAAACAACAATTACATTTTCTGAATGACAACATGATTTTATACCTGCATGTTCAACCTCAGCTGCTTCTTGAAAATCTGGATATAAGTCCCTATGTGCTGGAACATGTTCTTGACAAACTGCAGCTTCAATTTAAAATACTATTTAGTGTGGAGAAGATTAATTCTTGGTAAGACATCTACATATTATATATCTATTCTTGTCAAATCCCAGTTGATTAATACATGTAAAGTTTTGAATTTCTGAGAGTAGCTATTTAATTGTGATTTTTTCTTAATGGGTTCTTGTAAAATTTGATTTTTGTAAAGTTTCTTATGATTAATACTTGTAAATTGTTGGATTTCTGAGAGAAGCTATTTTGATTGTGATTTTTTCTTAGTGGGGTTATAAAGATTTGATTTTTCTTTTGTTTTTTAGCCCCGGTGTTCGTAATACAATTTTTTTGCAGCTGCTTAATTTAGAGGAAAATCTAGTTGTTTTCACATTGGATTGAAGGGCACTTCGAATAATGGATGAATTGGTCATGTAGTTAAGCCTCTAATGAATTGGTCAATATGGCATCACTATTTATACGTTCGAGCCTCATTCATTCACCGATTCCGATGGCACAACGAGGAAGAGTCGCCCGGAAATTAGGGTTTGTTCTTGAACAAAGACGACGGAGTTTGGGGCTGAGCAACTTGATTTTCTCTTAATATATTTCAATCTATTTTCATGTATTTCATTGTATTCATTGTCTTTTTTTCATTGTAATTCAATGTATCTCGTTGTATTCCATGTATTTCATTGTATTCACTATTTTTTTCCCATTGTATTTCAATGTATCCCGTTGTATTCTATCTATTTCATTGTATTCACTGTCTCGCTATATGCCATGAATGTATTCATATATTTTTTTAATTAATATAATTTATGTATTCAGATGTATTATATAATTTTTCTGAAGATTGCTATATTTTTGGGGTATTTTTCGGTTGAGAATTTTTTTATAACTGAAAATACAAAATTTGTGTGTTATAATTGAGTTTATTGAGTTATATTAGGAGTCTATTATGTTAATTGATTCACTTTCCCTTTTAAAAACAATGTAATCCCCTATTTCACGCCGTGAATACAGTCGAATACAATAATCTGTCCATGAATACAGTCGAATACACTCGAATACAACAACTGATTAGCTAGACTTCCCTCATTCACGCCTATTTTTGCTGCTGTATTCATGAATACAATAGCTTAAATACATCAAATACATCTTATAACCACATAAAAGGTATCTATATTCCGTAATATAGCAAATGGTATCTATAGATGGCTAATTACTACTAAAAGATAGTGCTTTATGAAAATTTCTCTTAATTAAATCATGTAACTATCTTTTTTCACAATCAAATTAGGTGCCTCAAGCATTCCGTATTCACACGGGGTTTAGGGAAGGACTGCATTCCAAGGATGTGGTGTAGATGGTCTACCTAGGTATGATGTAGATAGCCTATCCCTAATGCAAGTATTAGTGGTAGCTTCGACGGCTCAAACTCATAACCTAAAGTCACACGGAGACGAATTTATCATTGCTCCAAAACTCCCCTTCAATAGGTGACATGCTTCGAAAGACCAAATATTGTTGAGCCTGTAAAATTTATTTATGATGATAGATAACGTGTTTCAACACGTCAAACTATGTTGAATGCCTAACATGTTGCTGAAATGCAAGGGAGTGTACAATAGATCCTTGTGGTCCGGTCCTTCCCCGAACCCCGCGCATAACGGGAGCTTAATGCATCGAGCTATCATTTTTGATAGATAACATGTAACATGTTTCAACAAGTCAAATTATGTTGAATGTACAACATTATTTACGTGTCAGTGGACACAGAAGCTAGAGATAGCCAGCTACACATAACTAATATTAGCCAGTATAAGAGTAACTAATTTGTATAAAGAGAAGACAAACTACAAAAGTATATACTCTGCATCATTTCTATCATCCAATTGGCATATCATTTTCAATTTATTTGTGAAATAAATACCATTACAGCATTCAATACAACAAAAAAAAGGAAAAGAAAAGAAACAGGAAAAAGTTGCACCTCCACCTCCTATGATAGGGAGTTCACATCTTCCCAAAGAAACTCAAAATCAGAAAATGACAAGAAAAAAGACAAGCCAACCCCAACTATTAGAACTGAAACATAGTTGATTCATTCAACAAGACAAAAACAAAAAATAAATCTGAGATTTTCTCTATGTTTCAAGCTACTGGTGTTTTCCTATTTGGCTTGAAAACATACTCAATGAGGGATTCTTTGATTGACTTCATTTCAGGGAATTCCTTGCTCAGTTTGGAAGCATCAAGCTCATTGTTACTCCTAGGAGCAACAATCACCTTTGCTTGCTCCTCAAGAGTGAAATTCTTCCAGCTAAAGCTTGGGTCGACATAGTCACGGTACATTTCAAGAATCTCATTATGGCTAACAACTCCGGGATTTGTGAAGTTCCATATGCCAGTGAGGTTTCTCTTTGCCATCTC